CGTCGTTGGCCGTTTGAAGGCCCTCAGGACAGAGATTGAGCATCTCCAGCTGTTGTTGGAGAAGACCAAGGTGAAGATCCAGAGGGACTTCAGGCAGTGGTGGAGCCACTGGGGGGCGCCGCATGTGGAGGTGACACTATTAATCATTCATAAACATTTAATAATTGATCATTTTAATCTACAGTTTTCAAGTTTCCGATGGTTTCCCCTCGTAGTTCCTATGGCAGTGATTCCCAACCACTGGGCCGTGGCCCACTCGTGTGCCGTCGAAAATTATGCAGTTTCACTTAATTAGTCTGAAAACTATTCATTATTTATTGAAAGTAATTTTTCCTTCTCAAAACATTAAAAAAAGTTGATGCTGATTGTGGGAAATTCTTAACAGACTGCCCCCTGGAGGCGCCAAACATGTGGTTCCTCTGGGAAAGAGAAGGCAGAACAATTAAACCTTCTTCTGCTAGGTGGCAGCAGAGAGCTATGAAAATAATAAGACTCTGCTGGCGTCTCTTAGAGAATAATATCTTACTCACCACTAGGGGGAGTCTGGGAATTTAATGAAGTCACTCACCAAACAGGAACGTGACAGCGTCCAGAGTCCTGAGTGTGTGTTCTGATTGTTGTCCTCTTTCTCTGATCTGTGGTCAGGAACCAAAGTCTGAGGCCACAGCTGCTCGTCATCACACCGTGTCACCACCGGGGGCGTTAGAGCCGTGTTCGCCCATCACTCCAGGAATAAAGTGAGATTATCTGTGTGTCAGTGATGTTGAACTTTGACCCCAGGGGTCACCACTTCTAATTCAACAGCAACAGCCAATCACATCCATCCCTGAAATAGTGAGGGTTGAACCAGGACTGATGATGACAGTCTGCCCTGGTGGCCAATGACGGAACAACAGACAAAATTCATCTTCATCTGTTGACTCCTCCCCCCCCTCCTCCCCCCCCCCTTCCTGTTTCATTAGTTCTTTTAAAGTTCTCTCTCTGACCTCCAGGGGCTTCAGTCCTAAAGACGTTCCTCCCATCACTCCTCAACCTTCATGGCCCGACTCTTCCCTGGACCTCAGAGGGACTCATTACACGCCCTCTACTGAGTGGAGGTAGTCATTACACTCTTCAGAAAACACTTTTGTTCCAGCTCAGTTCTGAATTAGTAGACCAGGGTCTGAGTGGACCAAGGTCTGAGTGAACCAGGGTCTGAGTGGACCAAGGTCTGAGTGGACCCGGGTCTGAGTGGACCAGGGTCTGAGTGGACCAAGGTCTGAGTGAACCAGGGTCTGAGTGAACCAGGGTCTGAGTGGACCAGGGTCTGAGTGGACCAAGGTCTGAGTGAACCAGGGTCTGAGTGAACCAGGGTCTGAGTGGACCAGGGTCTGAGTGAACCAGGGTCTGAGTGGACCAAGGTCTGAGTGGACCCGGGTCTGAGTGGACCAGGGTCTGAGTGAACCAGGGTCTGAGTGGACCAAGGTCTGAGTGAACCAGGGTCTGAGTGGACCAGGGTCTGTCATCAGTTGTCCTTTTTTAAAGACCCCTGTTGTTGACGTTCCAGGTCCCTGTCCAGTACCAGACTGACCCCCTCCTCCATCCCACTGACTGGAGACCAGCAGACTGACGCTGACATCATGGCCTTCATCAGAGCCAGACAGAACCTCCTCCACAGAACAGGTAACTGCACCTGGAGCAACCACTGACCCACTGAACCACCGAACCACTGACCCACTGAACCGAACCATTGGGGTCACCAACGTGGAGCCGACTTTCATGTTTCATTGATGTTGACACACGTGACCACGTAATCACGTGATCAACACGTGATCACCAGGTGACCAGACCGTTTCTGCACAGATATTCACTCTTATTATTAACAGTGTTGACAGTGGTCAGAAATGAACCAAACAGGAATCTTTGAAACAACACTGCCCTCTGGAGGTGTGCTGCCTTACAACATGTTTAAATCCCCTCCTTGTGTTGCTGCTTCTCTCTGTGTCAGACCTTCCTATCTTCTGGTCTGTCCACCAGAGGTCAGTGGACCCGAGGTCCTCACTGGACCAAGAACTTTATTTTAAATATTATTTCTGTGTATTTTGTATTTTTCGTTGTTTTAATTTCACAGTACCAACACGGTCGCAGTTTTTCCTGTCACCACCAGATGAAGCTGTTTCCTTCCTGTGTTTCAGCCTCTCCTCAGCCGTGAACAACCGTCCGACCGTCAGGGTCACGTGACCGCGTGGTCCCGGTGGATTCAACAAAACTGTTGAGTCTCATCAGGAAGAGACGGATCCAACACGTGGCACACTGCTGTGTTTATTCCTGACACACACACACACACACACACACACACACACACTCCGACTGAAGATGATTCCATCGACGCATGAATCACAGGCTGTTTGACTTGAACAAATGTTGTCTTTAGATATGAGAGGACGGAGCCGACCAGGGGGAACCATCTGCTCTAATGAAACACTACCCTCTGGACACACACACACACACACACACACAC